CTTGACCCTCGCGAATTATTTCATCATGGGTTGGTACGTGGGCATGTACGATAAATACTATCTCGATTCCTTCCAGGTGTATTTCTCGCTCATCATTGTCTTTTCCCTCTTGGGTAATGTTTCGCTGGCCGTTCTCCGATACCGATTGAACGAGCGTGGATTCTTCTCTTCTTGTAAGTTTTCTCCCCTCCTTCCCCCCTATCCATCTCTCCCCCCAAACAACCCACTAACCTCCTCTCCCAAATAGTCTTCGAAAACCTCAAATGGCTCCTCCTCATGACCGTCTTCCTGGGCGGCCTCTCCATGCACGTCTCCCAATCCCTGCTCTGCCATTTCTTCGAAATCGACATGACCTGGGGCGCCACGGCTAAAGAAGTCGAAAACGTTACCTTCTTCGAAGAAATTCCGCGTCTGCTCAAACGCTTCAAATACACATTCCTTTTCTGCATTCTCATGACCGCGGGTATGATTGTGTGCGCGCTCGTCGTGCCGTGGAATTGGAGAATCGATACTTTTGTCGCCATTTTCCCCCTGTGTACGGTGGTTGTGAGTCATTTTTTGATGCCCATTGCGTTGAATCCCGCGTTGATGATGTTTACGTGGTGATTGAGGGATGGGGATGGGTGATTGGAAATGGATGGTTTATTAATGTGGAGATGGAAGGAGGGATGTATTGAGAGGAGGAAAATATCTAGTTGGATGGATCATCGGTATATATATATATATATGTCTAGGTTAATATGGGAATGGCGTTGCTTTATACTTTGAAGCTTTTATATAAAGGAATGGTGGAAAGAGGTGTTTGGAATAATGTAGAATATTATCAATGCGAGATCGAGAAATGGGAAGGTGGATTTAGAAAGGCTACCTAGGAAAAGATGTTAACTTTACATTCTTTAATCAATTTCATTACTTGTATACATTTATATATGTCTTTATAATCCCGTCTCATGTGGTAAATTCGTAAGTGTCGATATATCATTCCACACAACCCACAACCCACTATCTACATCTACATCTCAATCTCCATACATCTCACACATCTGAATCTCACCTACCTAATCTCTCCTCAACAAAGGCTCCCTCTCACCACCCTCTTCACCCCCCTTTCCCTTCCCCTTCTCAGACCCCGGCATTCTCCTAAACTTCCCCCCATCCACCTTCCTCACAACCCAACTCTCATCCCTCTCCGCACACTCAAAAAACTCCATATTCTCTTCGAAACTCCTCCCTCCACTCTCCAACGAATACCTCCACGTCCACCATCCCGCAAACATATTCGTTCCCGCAAATACCAGAAACAGCCAATATTTCAAATTATTAAATCCAATTGGCGTCAACAACGTAACCGCAAAATTCGCCAATCCCCAGACAATAACCGAGATGGCGGAACCCTGGGCGCGAGCTGAGGAAGGATAGATTTCGGTTGGGATCAACCAGACGGTTGCGAGCCAGCCGATGCCGAAGATGGCGGTTGCGACGAAGAGGGTTGCGGAGCCGAGGATTTCGGGCACGAGGAAGGGTATGCTTGGGAAGGTTGCGAGGGCTCCGAAGAGGGTTAACAGGAGGAAGGAGAGTGAGAGGCCGATGCTGCCGTAGATCATAAGAGTGCGGCGACCGTAGACGTCAATGGAGAGCCAGGCAAGTGTCATCATGAGGAAATAGAATATGTAGTTTCCGAGGGTGAGATATTCGGATTTACGGGTGGTGAAACCGAGGAGGGAGAAGATTTGAGGGCCGTAGACTAGGATTTGGAGTTAATAGGTGCGTCATGAGAAGGAATTTGAGCTTTTCGACAGAATTGGGTATGGAGAATGCTTACCGGATACAGCGCCATAGCCAGTGAGAGCCTGATTTATTTGACCCATTATCGTTATCATGGTTGGATGAAATTGTGCATGTCCTGGAGTAAACATATCTTTATACTGTACTTTTGAACCATCTTCTTGAGCAGTAGATTCTTTAAGAGTTTCGAATTTCGACTTGGCTGCTTCTTTGCCGTAGACTTTCTCAAGAGCTTTCTTAGCATCGTCTTCTCGGTTTACACTCATGAACCACTATACATAATTAGCATCTACTGTAAAATATATTGAATTCGAGAGATGCTCAACATACCCTTGGAGTTTCCGGAAGTTGAGAAATGAAAGACATCAACAGAATTGGGAAAATCTGCATAACAATAATCGGAGTTCTCCAAGCCCATTGACTATCTTTCCCCAGACCAATAGTGACTCCCAAATTAATCGAATACGCCATCAACAAACCAAAGATGTTCATCTGAAACTCTTGAGCTAACGCTCTACCTCTCGCTCCATCCGATGACAGTTCACTACTGTAAACCGGAATTGTCGAATCTATCCCTCCAACCCCCAATCCCATAATCACTCTTCCCGCGATCATACATCCCAATGATGCACCTTTCCAAGGCGAAGATCCATGAAATGAAAATCCGGAAATAAACATGAGTAAGTTCCCAAACGATGTTGTTGCCAAACAAGCAAATATAGATGGTTTTCTCCCCTCTTTATCGGCGAGCCAGGAGGCGAGAACTGCTCCAATTGCACATCCTAGGTAATAGACCGAGACGATTATACCTACTACAGGAGATTCTTCGCCAATTTGCATGGTTTTTAGATAGCTGTTGTTTGTGTTTATTAGGGACATCATTCCTGATTTGTGTTAGATATGATGGTGAGAAGGGCTTGTCTGCGCATAGGGGGAATGAATATATACATACCTTGATCATAACCATAGAGAGCAATTGCTGTACTGGAAAACATGACGATCTCATGTTTCTTGCTTAGGAGAGGAAAGATGGAAGAACTACCTCCTAGTTTTGAAGGAGGATTCGGCATTTTGAAGATTGTGAGTGAGATGAAGCAGACAGAGATTTATAGATAATTGAGATTTCAAGACGGCGAGAAGATATACAGCGCAAGAAGCACTTTGAATCTAGCTATCCTCTTAAAACGAGGAAATCGATTGAGAGATCGAGAGAATGAGAGATTGAGAGATTGAAGAAAGTAATTCTACCTCTTCATGAAGAAAGGAAACGAAAACCAAAAAACAGAGGGAAGGATTTTCTTAAGCTTCATTCCAATAGCTACCTACCTCTCTGGGCTAGAATCACGGGTTGCAATCATATTTTGATTTGTATAGGGAATTTCTTGGCCATGATTGGGATTCTTCAAATCATCATCCCACTTTATTATTTGAGCTGAAAGGATGTATGATGACATCAATATTTTGCGGCGGGAAGTGTTCCGCATACTAGGGTTAAGTATGATATCGATCGTGAGAACAATTTGTTTATTTTATGATCAAACACTCCCATCTACAAAATGAGTGTGTACGAAGTATACGATTTGAAGTATCACAGGAATCAATCTATTACCTCATATTATGTTCGAAATCGAAATATGTATGGTTGTTGAACTGGGAGAAGATATCAAATGATGGGCATACATGGAATGGAATTCATCAATCCGATTCGAACAATAAGTTGATCTCCAGCTTCATGCAGATACATATTCTGCCTTATCAACGTCACATCTCCACCGCCTTTGAAGCCACGAAGATGTATACATAGGTACAATGTATGTATGAAGAAGAAAGATGCCTCCACCAGTTGTACGATCCATGAATATATCCTCATACTTGCACACAATCCTGACATACTGAACAGACACCATCCCCCCATCGATTCGTGATTAAAAGACAATCCGGCCCTTCAGCTCCCCATCCACCTCCACGATCGCAACTCGCACAAGAATCAACTCCCCGTCCATCAAATACGCAACAATTCAATACCACTCCTCGTTTTACATTTTCCTCCACTCCAAAACCTAATGCTACGCAAAGTACAGGTGTACCATCATCCACACCCGTGGGACGATACTTAACCCCCGCTCGACAAAGTACAAAAACGAAAGAGAATATCGATGATCCTTCAGATGATTACCCCGCGCATGTTCCCCTTCACGATTCTATAGATACAAATGACGATTTCGATACCGCTATTAGATATTCCATTGAAGGTGAAGATGCAGACGAAGACCCAAAAGACTATGAAATAAATCCACGACCATCCAAACGGCGACGAATTTCTGTTTCTCCAGATATCGTCCTGGACGAAAATGATGATTTATTATCTTCTTCTCTGCCTATAATTTCTTCGCCGATTTCTCATCGACCTACTCAAATCTCGTCCACAGGTGGCAAACCTAAATTTCTTCTCTCAACTCCTGTGCCATCTACACCTCAATGTATTGCCCCGACGACTTTTCTCAAACCGCCTCGGTTTCGTCCGCCTGATCCTGCGGAATCGCATGGAGGTGGAGATCCTTTGCCTGAACAGTTTTCGCCGCATAAAAAGGGGAGACAATATCTGTCCGGGGGATTGGCAGCGGAAGTTAGAGATTGGTTGATTAATATTGATTCTGGGATTGGTGGCGTGCAAAAAGGGAAAGAGAGAAATAGAGAATGGGTGACGAAGATAAAGATAGAAGAGGTGAGGAGGGATGGAAGAGAAATGTGTTTAGTAAGGGGTAAACAGATGCGAGATGTGGATGGAGAGGAGGTTGTGGATGGTTTGGGGGAAGTTAGGGTTATGTTAGCTGGAGAGGGAATGGGGCTGGGGTTACAGAGGGGAATGGATGTAGATGCTGGGGGGATAGTGGGTATTAAGGGCCCGGTTTGGGAGATTGTGGTCGATGGAGCTAAATGGGGTGTTGGGGTGGAGTGGAAGGTATTAGGATAATGAGATGATATGATACGATGTGATATAACACCTTGGCCGAAGAAGGTGTATAATCGAACACGAATGTCCATGTATTAATTATTCGCCTACTACCTATTTGAAAATGTCTCGCCTAGCTATCCAACTAGTCGCATATAAAACAGCAGAAATCTAGCAACAAAACAAAACAAACCAGACCCCAATATATTAAATCTACCTAGGTATAATCAAAAAGCCCCGGACCCTCTTTCTCCTCAATTCTTTATTCCACCCCTCTCGGTGGCCGTCTCATAATAACATGTCTCGTGCTCCCCATCCCCTCACCCCCTTCATACCTATCCAACTGGATATCCATACCATGCACATCCACAAATCCATATTTGCGATAGAGACCGATACCCCATGGACTAGCACCCAATACTACTTGCAGGGATTTCTCATCTGCGAATTTGAGTCCTTGTTCGAGGAGGAGCGTGCCGATTCCGCGGCGTTGGTGCGACGGGTGGATGACGAGGATGTTGAGTTCTGGGGGAGGGTTAGTAGGGTTTAAGGGTAAAAGAAAAGGAGAAGAGGAGGGAATAGGAATTGAGGGTTTAGTGAGCCAAAGTAAAGGGATTATGGATAAATGGGAAGAGGAGGGAGAATATAAACGAGGAAAGAAACGAATAAAACATACTCAACCACTTTTCTCGCCCACAAGCTCCAAACATATACTCATCTCCCCTCACAAAAACGTCTTCACACAATTGAACATTACTCCCCTTCCCCCAAATCTCCTCCAACTCCTCTTTCGTCTTGATCCTCGTCTTCCCCTCCTCTTCTGATCCCGTCGGGGAATCCAAAGAACCTTCCTTCTCTCTATCTTCCCCTCCTTTCTCCTTCTCTTTCCCCATCTCCTCTCTACCCCCAAACTCCACCCCGCAACCCCCACAATCTCCTCCATCCCCCCACCCACCAATCCCAAAACAGCCTTACAATACCAACCTCCCTCTTCCTCTCCTCCTTTCTCCGCTTTATCAAGAAACTTCTCAAACTGTCTCTCGCGCATCTTCAAGGCTTCGGGACTTCCTCTCTCTTTCCCAAATGCCAAGTCGCTGAATTCATCTTCTTCAAATGCGAGATGTTCCAGGAGGGCTATGCGCGGGAGATCGGCTTTCGTGATGGGGAGAAGCGTGATTTGAACGTTGGTCTTATCATTGTAGTTGGGTTTTGAAGAAAGGGATGAGTTGGAATTTGCTATATTTATGGGATGAGGATGTGTGATGGCCATTGTGTACTAGATAGGTGATTATAAAATGCGTTGTGGAGATGCTGAGGGTAGAGTGTGTATGAAAGGAAGTGCGAAGTGTGACAATTGATCAATAACTAGATATATAGATGCAGATTTATAAACCATACAACATTTACCACTCCGTACTAGCACTTTCCAAATAAAGCAGATAGAGTAGAAATCAAAGCAAAGCAAAGCAAAGCAGAGCAAAGTAAAAACAAATATATCCAAAACAAACAAACAAAAGCAGCAAGAATAAGAATAAGAATAAGAATATATAAAACCAGTCCCATCCAATCCGTCTATTCGTCTGTCTATCAAAACCACAACCCCATCCCATCCCATCCCATCCCCAATACAAACATCTATCTGACCTACCTATCCCATCTACGTATCTCCTCCGCACCTAACCGAACTTTCAAGTTTCTTTCCATCCATCCATTCGTCTTTCTGGAAATACAATGACCTACCACACACACCAGTCTGCATGCATGATCTCATACCCATCCACACATAGCACACACCACACACCTACCCTATCCACTCACCGGGGTCCCACGCCGTCCCACGCCGTCCCACGCATTCACATGCAGGAACACCCGATCCAATCCAAAAATATCCAGCACCATGTATCCTAGCATCTACATCCGTATCCGTGTATGTGCACATCCATCCCAACTATCGGTGAAGCATTCATTCATTCATCCATCCATTGATTCATTCACTCCTAGTCCTCACCATATCACTCACCTGCCTAGTCCCGCTTCTCACCGAACCCATCAAAATCAAACTCTGTTTAATTGACGCAGGTGGACATCCATACATGGCTTGCTTGCAACTGTAACGGCTCGGGAAGCGGATTCGCGTTCCGGGGTTTGTGTACATATGTCCTTGCTCACATATTTACATACATAGGTAGACAATATCTATCTAATATCTGTAGCTAGCCGAACGAACTGTGCTGATGTGATGGTTTGTCGGTCTGAGAGTCTTACCGATTGAGTCAGTCACCGAGTACATCATACATTACACATCCATACATCACACATCACACACCATCCATCACATATTACACACCATTCATTTATTTATCCCAACTCCCAACTCCCAACAATCACCCTAGATCCCCATCCCCATCCCCATCCTCATTCCCATTCTCATTCCCATCCCCATCCCCAGCGAATCACACAAGATACAAATCTCGAACAATACCTCGATAAACTTCCATTTTCGTTTCCTTACCTTCTATGACTTGCTACCTAGATATCATTTATCATCCCGACCACCAAACCACCAAGCCCCATAGTTCCCAAGACTCAAGACCTTCTCGCCGGGACGGATTAGGAAGGTACATATACATAAACATTCATTGCACACAACACAACACAACACCACACTCGACATGGTACAATACAACACACTTGTCATGACATGAAAGCATTGAGCCTTAACTCCCGGTGAGCTTTTCAATTGTTCCTTTGTAATCATGATATCTGGTTGGTCAGAAAGCGAGGGAGGGAGAGAAGGAGAGAAGGAGGAGCGAGGTTCGAAACTTCAGGTAATCATAAGGTTAGACCTTTCGAAGTTCTAGATCTCTTATCTCTTATTTCCTATTTAATTCCAGATACAGGAGTAGTAAACAACATTTAAATCACCCGAACCGTGTCTATTGTCATGCACATCTATTGATCATCTTCACATGTGCATCCGCATGTTCAACGAGTCCAGAAAAGCATTGTTGATATCAATACCCCTTGAATTCATCTACTCGCTACGTCTACTCGCTAGACCTACGCCTTATGCTGACCAGATCCAGGAGCACTAGTCTGTTGTATGTCTCTAGTTATTTTATAATTTTCGGGTCTACGCCTCCTTCATCCCCTTTCGCTACCAATCCCCATCCCTCCATGCATTTTTCCATCCTCTGTATTGTTTCGTCTTCATATTCGTCTCCTCGTCTCCAATCGAAATTCATTCATCACCAGCTGTGTCCCGTTAAAAATCGAAAATAACCAACCGAGGCTGCCAACGCTTGCTGTTGAAGAAAATCCCACAGATAATAACCCTCAAGCTTTTAATCTCTGCATAGCCCATCCATAGTAACCCGCCTGCACCCATTCATACCATAACATGTTACCCTTTCGAGATCCTAATCTTTCCCCAATATGTAAGTACAAGTATATTCCTACTAGTATCAACTCTTCGATGAAGATTGCGTGTGCATGTCTCATCACCTCCCACCCTTGTCCATCCCTTTTGCTAGAAAGCCATTCCCCTACAATTCCAAATCATCACTGATACCAATATCAATACTAGCAATAATATCATCATCCATAAGGGGTCTCCTGAACCCTGGAACTCCTCCCTTCGAAGTCGTCTGCAGCCTACTAAAATTTGGTACCGGCAGTGCATCCTTCTTAGCCGCTAATTTAGGAGTATTATTGGTTGAAGTTCCACTGACTGGAGTAGCTGTTGCACTGTCCTTTCCACCAGTATGATCATGTTTAAAAGTAGCTCTAGTCTTGACACGACGTGAGTGATCTTCATCAACAATTTCTCCACGAGCAATTGCTGCTTCAGCTAGTCGTGCTGCACGACGTTCGTTAATTTGTGCTTGGCGTACTTCCTCGATGTTCTTACGACGGTTGGTTCGGTTGAGTTCGGCAAGTCGATCTTGTTGGGCGTGGACTGTCTTCTTCTTTGGCGTAGGCTTAAGTGTAGTGCCATAAGCTAATTTAGCACTTTCAAGTGCCTCGAGCTCTGAACGGTATTTCTCTTCCAGTTCGGTATTTCCAAGACTCTTCTGCTCCTTGATAGCGTTGTTGAGACGCGCACGTTCTGCTGTAGTCCATCTCTCGGTCAAAACACTCGACTTCTTCAACTTTGTTTGTAACTCCTCTTCAGTCCAAGGTCGGTTAACGAGAGCATTGATTTCTGCACACTTTTGCATCAACTTTGGCTTTGTTGGAACAGGTATGCCGTCTGCGATACAATTTTGCTTATATCTTTGCCATTCTGCCTCTGTAAATCTAGAATCTGAACAAGCAATGAAAGGCCATGATCTTTCAGATTTGCCGTGTGCAGCGATCACATATTGTGTTGTTGAGAATTGCTTCCCGTTAGCAGACATCATAGCATATGGTCTATCTTCTTTGAAGCCTAAAATAAGTTAGCTTGTGTTAATACAAGAATAATTCCAATGCATTAACCTTTAACAAGACCCATGCGGTAAAGGTTCTGATTCGTCTCCTTGTCAACACCAATATTTACCCGAACGAAGCATCCAGTAATAGCATCATCGAAGCCAGGATAGAAGCAGACCATGGCAAATCTACTTCTACCAACTCGAACTCGTTCAAGATCGTATAAAACTGCTGGCTCTGCATCACGGTAATCTGGAGATGCAGATCTCTTCTTTGATTTTGATGCTGTCCACTCAACCTCACTATCTTCATCAGATCCATCATCTGAATAATCGTCGCGATTATCTCTGCGACTATCACCTCCACGGCGCTCTTTGTCTTCTTCGCGGCGACGTTGGCGATCATTCTTCTCAGCTCTTGCGCGCTTGAGACTATCGATTCCAGTACTAGCTTCTCCAACTTTTCCACCACCCAGTTTGGTACGTTGGCGAGATGTCTTGCGCTGATTGTCGTCCAAATCTGCAGTACCCGCCTTGCGCTTTTTCTCTGCCTTCTTGTCCGCGGCATCACGACCATTCAAAAGTTGGCGAAGTACTCTGTTTTGTCGATCCCTCTCAATTTCTTGTGCACGATCAGCCAAGACCTGTTCACGTTCGATTTCAGGCATAGACATGATAGTTGCTTTATCAGAAGCGTTCATGAATCGACCTTCAAGAGGATAACGATCAGCATCATCGCGGAAACCTGGGCCATCAGAATCGGAATCGGATTCATCCATTGGGGCTGATCGTTCTGAACGAACAGATTCGTCACCAGAAGAACTGTTGTGAATCGTATTAGTATACTATATGGCTATATATGACTGCTGTAAGAATATCTCGCGATATCAATTTTTGCGAATTTGCGACAGGATAGCCACGGTAAAAGAACACTTACGCTTCACCCTCTTCTTCAGAATCATCATTTCGTCTACCTCCCTTCTTTCCTCCCTTCTTAGCTGAACTCTTCATATTTCCATTGCGATCGGGTGATGAAGAACTGTGCCTTCCGTCATTTGAAGCGACCTGCTCATCTCCCGAAGAATCATCTCCAGCAAGAGCGAGAAGTTCATCATCAATATCCGCCATTGTAAAATCTCGAATATAGCAAGTTTCGGTAAATATCGAGATTGCGATTGTAGATCAAAGACCCTGGGATCGTATGTTGTAGGAGTAAAAGGGTGGTTGTAATGAGATTCGACCGAAAGTGCGTAATTTATAGTTTATCCAAATGTCGTGAAGTAAAAGGTTATTAGTTGTTGAATTGTAAGTAGTAGATGTACGTGAGAGACTGATAGAAAAAGAAATCTATAGTATCTTCCGAGATATGTTTAAATGATTGAAGCGTATGTTTGAAATAAAGTGAATTGATGAATTTATATCTTTTGAGAACATAGAACATAAGAACATTACAGTAGAACAATTCAGCCTGCTCTCCTTGGTAGGACATTAGCGTGTCTCTAGCGCGGATTGCTTAGTCATCATCACGATAACGTAATGATAAGGCACATCATCGCACTAGTGAATCACCGAAGCTCCGGTGTTCTAGGCGTCATGGAAATGAGGGATGGAAATATTTCTGAGGTCATTTTATATATCTTATCACTCCCATCACTGTATTAGACTGATAGACAACTTGTACAAACCCCAACTACCAAAATGAATACATATAGACTTTCCAATCGTTCTGCTCGATCACTTTTCGCAACTCAATCGCCTCTCTATGATTTTTTGGCACCAAGTTTCATCAATTTACCCAGATCATCCCGCGTTATTCGCCAGCTCTCCACAACCCCGCCATCCTCTTCGGTTGCTTCTTCCAGTACCCCCTCACCCAATTCTCAAAATGCGCGCGAGCACCATACCACCAACCCATCCCATCCAGCCCCTCGATCTGGCGCAGAAGCCCTTCTCAACGCCTCTCCCTCAAATAAGCCACTGACCCAATCCCAAAAAGATTTCCTCACCAGCGCCCTGCGTGTCAACCAAGCCGGCGAGCTCGCCGCAACCCTGATCTACACCGCGCAAACCCCTCCAATCACAAATGCACACCCTCATTTGCGTCCCCTAATGGCGCACATGTATGATCAAGAAGCCGGACACTTTGCCACCTTCAATCATCTACTCGCTAAACATCGCATACGTCCAACCGCATTGACACCCGTCTGGTCACTAGCTGCATCGGCTTTAGGATGGGGAACTGGATTGATGGGACGAGAAGCGGCAATGGCATGTACAGAGGCCGTGGAGACGGAGATTGGGACGCATTATAATGAGCAGGTGCAGGTGTTATTGGAGATGAAGACGCAGATGGAGGCAAGGGGTGAGGAATTGGGAGAGGAGTTGACGGAATTGTTGGAGACTATTAGGAGGATTCGGGATGAGGAACTAGAACATTTAGACCATGCCGTTGAACATGATGCGAAGAAAGCTGTGCCTCACGAACTGTTGACTGGCGTTATTAGAGCGGGGTGTAGAGGGGCAATTTGGGTTAGCGAGAGGGTATGATGCGATGTCCGATAAATGTACAAATATTGGGTACACACTGTTGTACAGAGTGATAGGGTTTATATTTGATAGAGAGATTTATACGATTAATCTAAGTGTAGTACCATACAAGCTTTTTCGACAAAATAGACCACTGAAATAAAATGAACTCCAATCTCCATTGCTTTCTTCCTATGCTAGAAATCTGTACGGAAGCGCCGTCCCATGAGAATGCTCCTCTTTGTTATATTATAAGCTGTACACAAATGAAATGAAATATACAAGGCGCTATCTAGCGTTGCCATTAAATACTAGTTACTATTTCAAGGGTTAGCGAATGTCGACTGTAATTCAAGGAGAAATTTCAACTTACTAAATTTGTAGAGGAGCAACTTGGTCGACTTGGTAAAGCCAGTTGGAGTTGAGTTCTTCCTTGATAAGCCAATCGTAAGGAAATACGACAAGATGACCTTGAATCATCGCCAATAGATCCTCAACATCCTCAGTAGAGAGCAGGTCATCGCTTCCCGAGAATCCCTTGCGGCTACCCCTTGTAGTACCGCGACGTCTCTTTCTAACTGATCCAGTTTGATTCATGGAACTGTTATTTTCTCTTCTATCGCCGTTGGGTGTTGGTGTCGTAGAGAAAGTGGTCTTGCGGGTACTAGCTTGAGAAGTTGTCCCATTAGTGGGAGGCACTCCCAAAGCAGTAGCGTCGAGAGCAGGGAATGCTTCGTTGCCAGTTGGTCCAATGGGAGATACTGCTTCATTACGAGCAGCAGTTTTCTCGTCAACCCCGTCATATTGACCCAAGCGACTCTCATCAGATGTATTGATGGCTGCTCGAGCATCGTGTTCTGCATTAGCGGTAGCAACCCATTCAGATACTGTTCCAAGAGGATGAGTGCCCCCTTGACTATTGGGTTTTAGCTTCTCGGAAAGAGGATTTCCGACTGAGCTTGAACCTGGAGGTCCATGTCGACTGGTCGCATCTTGTCCCTCTCGCTCATTAGTCTTTCCACCTCCTTGTGCTTGTACAAATCTTTCTGCATAAGCAACGAATTCTCTATACTCATGCCAATTCGTTACTTCACTATCTGGATTACACCTGAAGACTCTGCGATAGATCTTAGTATTGTTTTCGGCGATCTGTTGCCAAATTTCTTCCGCGAAAGCATCGTTCAATGGATCACGCATACAGTCTTTATGTACTTGCGCCATCTTTATGTCGGCCGTTAAAGGATTGAAAGGTTTGGGCACAGTATTTCCGGAAGCATCTATGGTTATAGGTGGACCACCAATATCGGTATCATCCATGATTGGTAACGCAGGTAATTGAGAAAGTTGCGAGAGACCAAGCTGCTCTGTCGTTCTCCTCACCAACTGAGGAGGAGGCGGCAATCCATTGTAGCCTTCTCCACTATCCGAGCTATTCTTTCTTGGAGGTGGCACAGATCGAGCATGAGGTCTCTTAGGTTGGCTCAAAGTACCCTTGCCTTCTGGAGCAACATCAGTGACTAGCACTTCGCGACCGCCTTCGACTAGAACAGAATCTCTACCCCTCGTCTGTCCTGTTTGTGATAGAGATTTCAGTTTATCGGTTCCGTCACCGTCCACATCTGCTGCATGAGCCGCGTTATTTGTAACTCTTTTATCTGTTGTCAATGGCTTGAACTTTTCGGGTTGTATATTGGGGTTGCCTTCTTGTTCCCAATCAACATCGTGATTGAAGCTGCGTATATTCTCATTCAAAGTAACACGGGTAGAGAATTCATTAGAAACCCCCTTGGCCGGCGATGGGCTACCGTCGCTACCATCTTCTTCCTCGTCGTCATATATCCCATCCATCTGTGCTTTGAATTCTTCTTCTTCACGGTCCAACTCATGAGTCTTTTCATCTTCCATAATCTCATCCACATCCAATCCCAAATGTTCTCGCATAAGACGCATGCGTAATTCATGGGCAAATTTTCCAACAAGATATGGTTTACCATCCATTGTCGACCATATCATATCAGTATCTCGAACAACGGCTGCAGTTTCCGAGTCTCTGTTACCCAACATAGATCTCTCGTTGATATTAGCAGAACCAATCAAGGCAATTCTATCATCCACAATGATGACCTTGGCGTGAATGTACAATTGCTCTGTAACGACCATCTTCTTTGGACCGATTCGACCCCATGTTCTGAGACTGTAGAATTGTACAAATTCCTCAGGATCAATACCTTGACTCTTTAATCGTCCAAATATAGACCCATCGCCACGACAGATACTTCGGAATTGACATTGCATGATCAAGCGCACACTTGTTCCCTCGGGTTCGTCCACTGTATTCTGGAATCCAGGCATAAGTGGTATGAGAATCATGCATCTCCAACTCTCATTGTTTCGATAAGCGCGTATAGCACGCTCTACAATTGCATCACCAATCTTGTTGACAATCTTTACATTCATCGTCTCACAACTTGTGATAAAGAATTGATTCTCCATGTAGACAAAATGATCCGACTCTTCAATCATCTTGCAATAAGCAGTCATGATACTATGCTCGGTATCTGTAAGACCTAGGGACCAATCACAAGCTGAACGCAAGATCTGAACTTCACAAGTTCCAGTGAGACCAAGATCTTCCAGTTCGGCCTGGTTGTAATCAGGAGGCGGAAGAAGGAAGGGTGTTGGCCTTGTAGGTGTACGGCCTCTAAGCACATAGTTCCATCTTTGCACGAAGTGCCTGGTCAAATCTCTAGCAGGTTGACCGGCGACTTGCATAGCAACATCGTGCCAAGGCATCCGAGGAGTCTTGGAACGATCATACATTTCTGCATAAGGTTCGTTGAGTTTGTAGAAATCTTGAACACGTGGGTTGGAATAATCTTTTCCTGGCCAGAGCTGGCAATGATCAGCATCTTTGGGCGAATCAGAATGCTCAAAACCTGTAGGTTTATCATCCACCACAGTATGCTGAGGAGTATCCCAACGACCAAAACAAAGATCGATACCTCCAACAAAGGCAACTATGTGATCGACGATACAAATCTTTTCGTGATGCGCAAAGAAGAATTGATTTTTCTTGAACTGATTGGGCGATCGTTGTACGAAAATATTTGGGTGCAAATCCAACATAGAAAACTTTGTAAATTCAGAATCGATAGGAATGGCAGCCTCAACATTTCTGTAAACAATGATGAAAACCTTGACTCCTTCTCTGGCTTTCCTCTGTAGCAAACGATCAAGTCTCCATTTCTGACTGATAGCAGCAGGTCTTCGCATGTAAAGTTGAGGACTGAGCCACCAATCGTGAATATAAATCACATCCTTTGCTTCATTGATTGCTCGAGAAACATTCCACATGTAGTCACGACCATCTACAAGCCATTGCGCAGTGACCCCAGTTCTCACTGGAGCGAAACTACCAAATCTATGTTCCTTCGCCCATGGTGTGTTAGCGGCCATGAAGTTTAACGACTCCTCGAATTGTCTGAGTTGACGTTCATTCTTGGCCAGTAACTTGATCTTGCGCTCGGAATTCTGAAGTTTGAGACTATGGTGTTGTGGGTGCTTAGCAGATCTACCCGCTTGTGAAACTTCCTCTTTCACTTTCGCTTTTCCGTTGCCTATCTCAGATATCTTTCTCCTCTTCTTCTGTATTCCGAACTTTCCATCCACCAGATACACATCATAGATGTGCATGTTTTCTGGCGACTCAACACACACAAGATAACTGTGTCTAACCAAAAACCATTTTGGAGAATGACGGTCGAAAAAGTTATTAGGCGTAAGTATTCTCCTGACATCTAGCCCCTTTGCCGATTGAATAGCAAGATAACCTTCCTTTCCATGGTAGCTACCTTCAGCAGCCAAACGTACGCCCATCGAAGATAATTCCAGAAATCTACACAGGCGATTACTATCCGCTCTGAAGATGAGCCATCGAATCATTTCTTGAAGATATTGTTCCAATCTTCTTCGCTGACGCTCATTGAATATCCTCTTCTGCTTTTCGGCACTGACTGCATTACCGCTAGCATCCAAGATGGCACGGGTACTTTTTCGTGCCGCACTCATAGATGGACGCCTCTTGATCTTCCGTTTTGGTTCTGCCTCGCTTTGCGTGGCCTCACCGTGGGTTATGTCACCGTGAGTCGCCTCGCCGGCTGTTTCTTCCGCACGAACATTATCGGCCTCATCTTCATCACTTTCTCCTAGCCCTCGAACACCTCTGAAGTAGGGGAATGCGGATTTTGGAAATCTTGGTTGCTTTGGTCGCGCGTGGGCTTCGTTCCCTAAGTACTTATCACTATTTCCTTGGAGCTTGTAACGTAAATGTAGATTGGCGAAGTCCTTGAGGGAACGATGAATTATCCATTTCATTCGATTTGGACCGCTTCCGTATTCAAGCTCAATTCGGAAAACTAGATGCCTCTCCGAGTCATCTGCATCCTCGTCGGTGGGTTTGCTGTCCGTGATCTCAATTTTGAGTTGCTCAAGAAGGACTGGAATTCTCTTATTTCCATGCTCATCGCGTTGCATCATGCTAGCAAACATAAGCACTGCAGGGGCGCCAGCCCGTAATTCCGCCATGAGTTCAGTAGATTTAAGATAGTCAACCTTGTCTTCCTTCTTGGCTTTGCCAGCAAAGAATTTCATGCTATGCTTTAGCATCCGCCATTTCTGAGTGCCAAAAGTACTAGCTCTTTCTGCGCCAAAATACCCCGGTCTTCTAGGTGTTTGCGCTTCGCCCTCACTCTGTCCCCCAAGTCCTGTCACTCTTCTGAATTGACTTGGTCTCTTTGATCTTGCGCCATCAACATTTGCAAAATCTTGTGCTTGTGGCGAAGTATCAGGAATTGATCCTCGACCTGGCATCCATGAACTTCCTCGTCGCCATGCACTTTTCCCGTTGAAACGATCACGCCCTTCGCCTTCTGATAAATGGCCCCTTTGTTCCAAAGACCCATCGGTTGTCCGCCTACCCAAGAAAAATGACCGACTTCCACCTGGGGAATCCGATGGTCCAGCACGAAACCTGGGTGTATTGGGCGCACTGTCTTCTTCCTGTGGTCTTCTCGTTCGGCGTTTCTTTCTTATGCGCGCTGGTTGATTGAATGTACCCTCATCTGCTGTTTCTTCCGCATCTGCATCACTGCTTTCCTCGTGCAATGTTTGTGGGATATTCGTAGCAATGGGTGTTGTTCCAAGTCCTTCATCGAAATAATTCGTAGGTGTGCTTTGACTTCTGCCATGCCCTTGCATTCCACTTGGGGTAGCTAACGCCTTCAATTTCGACATTATAGATGCACCCCTCCTATCCTTCGCAGGCGTGTCATTGTCTTCTATACCCCATGAATCTTGTCGTGCAGAATTCGGAGGTTCAACAGTCGTCATATCTCTAGCGAATGACACACTGCGTCTGCCGGGTGGAGTTGATATACCGTTCGTTACGGAATGGCTCTCATGAGGAAATGAAGATGGGGGAGGAACAGGAGAAAAGCTGGCGCCCGCATTATTGGCAGATGTTCCAGGTGAGATAGCATCTGACGTGGAAGCTATGGGAGTATGATGTGGAACGCCACCATTCATATAATCGACTGCCTCTTCAGAGATATTGCTCGCTGCATTTGAGGTCGGTGTAGGTATAGCCAGATTGAGTGAATTTCCAGGCTTCTCAGAACTCACAGTCCGTAGACCCGATGGTCGTACAGTTGTAGCTCCATTTCCATGAGTATTTAAAGGCGATTGTGAGCGTGGAGTTCGTGTCGATGGTGAAATTGAGCCTGTTGTGCTTTGTGCCATTGTGAACTCTAGGTTCTGGTGGTAGGGGGATTCTTTCTGGAAGTAATCTCGATTTCCTACAAGCTGAGGTCCGGTAAGGACAATATCGTGCTATTAGATGTATATCGCAAAGTTCATTGTGAGCAATTATGTTGTAAGTTGTAGAGTTTCTTCGAATCGGATACCCTTTCAAGGTTGTGAATACAATATTGAACGTTCCAAGGGTGTGCGAGTTTGGTTGATTTTGAGGGGGGACCAAGGTACGGGTCTGTTGATCGTTTCCAATTGATTGAATTATTCGAAAGCTCAGTTACCAACCTAGATACTCGAGTCGATAGGTAGGTAGTGAACAGAGTAATAGGTACCTATATCGATTGAAAGAATGAGCAAGAGATTTGACAATTGAAAATGTTTCTAATGTACCTACTCGAGTACGAAGGATGTATCTTGCAAACGGTAGGTATACTCGAAGAATAATTAAAAGTCGATCAGGGATTTTGTATTATTAGAATTCCTGGCTCCTGGGTGGTATTCCAAAGAAAATAGGGAGCCAATCTCCCAGGGATTACTGTTAGATACATAGGAAATGACGTTTGACTAGGGGTCACCGTACACCGTCGATCCCCTTTAAATCGTTTTACCATTTGCCGCGCCTTCTTCGTCTTCTAGAAAAAGATGTACCTAGGTATTGGGTGATCGAGTGCATAGTATATGTACATAGGTAGGTAATAGATGTATGCATCTATACATCCATACAACCTCTTCATTTGATAAACATTTCCATCCTCAAGTACTGCCTGCCTAGGTACATGATCAAATTTGAACAATGTCTGGGGAAGACACAGGGAGAGGAGGGAGACATCTGCAAACTACTTATTATATTGACTAATTCAACCAGATAGACCCCTTGCCATGAGTAAGTGGAGTGAAGATCTGAAAGATTAAAAGATCTTGCATTGCATTCACAACCCCACTCTTTCTTTTGTCCTACACCACCTTGTTAACCTTGATAATCTTCTCATCCGAGCTTGATAGCTTTGTTCAAACGGGTGTTCGCTTCCCCATCTAGCTTTCAATACATGCCCAGTACTCGAACATATATCAGGATTCGCTTCAAACATCATGGCTACCCCTAACCCCCTTGAAGACGCTCCTCCAGCTATCTCTATATCAGAAAAAACCTTTCACATCGCTGGTATCCTGACAACCATTTATGGTCTCGAGGAAATATCTCCATCATGTACATCCATATCATGTCTCTGGCTTCTTCACCCACGACTCCAAACCAAGAAAATCATGGAAAACGTAGCTTCGACTTGTATTCAAGAATGGAATCAACAATCGGGTTCTAATCGAACGGTTGGTTTGATCGCGGTTGCTTTTGATCAAAGAAATCATGGAAGCAGAGAAGTCAATGCTTTAGCAAATGAATCGTGGAGAGACGGTAATGAAACTCATGCTCAAGATATGTTCAGGTTCGACACCTTGTCGTATTCGTGTGTTGAAAATGGCTTATTCAATATAGTATATTTCATGGAACGGCAATGGATACAAGTCTCCTGATAGATCATTTACCTTCCTACATCTTCAATACCAGAGATTCCCCTTCCATCGACCAACATCTTGTCTTGGGTATCTCTCTCGGAGGGCACTCAGCATGGCAAGTTCTGTTTGCTGATCCTCGAGTCACTGCTGGTGTTGTGATTATTGGATGTCCTGACTACATGCGTAAGTCTGCTTTCATAAATACTAGAATCCAAAAAGATTTATGACATGTTGCATGATCGAACATGTGCGTCTTCACGCTAGACTTTACCACAGACTTGATTAACCAGAGTATCCGGAGATAAGCTGTTTCCATTTTTGGTACGAAGAGGAGATCCTCAAGTGAGCCATGCATTCGGGAAGAAAATGCTCCAAACTCATCCAAAAATGGTCAAGAGTTATCCTCCCAACGTTAATGCATGTGTTGAAATCTCAAGATCAATCTGGGAATAGTTACCCAATAACCGCGTGATATCACAAAACAAACTCAGCAAGCAGTAAACACTGTCGATAATAGAGTCAAGCGAAGAAGGAAAAAGCAGATTCGCTCCTACACAAACAATCCTCTACACATACAAAAACAGGAGAATATACACACACCCACACACACACATAAACCAGCCAACCACTCAGCCCCTACTAACACCCACCCCAGGAATAATGACCGATCGAGCGCGTCTCTCCAAACTCCTCACCTACACCTCCACCTCTCCCCCCGGCATCTCCTTCCCAGGCAGCAAAGACTTTCCCCCCGCCCTGATTTCCAGTCTCCAAAAATGGGACCCCGCATCTATCCTCTTCGGAACATCCCCCATCCCCTCCACCTCCCCACCATCTCCTCAAGCCCAATCCCTCTACACACCCATCCTCACCCAAAAACTCACCCACAAACGCATTCTCGTCTGCTCCGGCGCCGACGACAAATTAGTCCCCTATCATTGTTCTACCCCCTTTCTACAGTTTCTAAAGAATGCCACCGATGCGCAGACAGGATGGTGGAAGGAAGGAGATTTGTTCTTGGATGATAGAGTGTATCCTGGGGTAGGCCATGCGTTTAGTAAGGATATGCTAGGTGATACGGCGAAATTTGTGAATGAGACGCTGGCTGGGAAGATGAGGGAGGCTACGGGTAGTCAGGCGAAGATTTAGTTTGGTGGGTGGGTGGGTGGAAGGAGGAAGGTAAGTGAAAGAGGGGACTGTTAGGCTATACTGTGGAAATTGATAGATAGAGATGCCTCCTAGGTAGATTGACTCTTTTAAGTATCTGTCTATCTTTTTTTTTGAAATTTATACCAGTTGTGCTAGCACTTTTCCTTTTGTCATCTCTTTTACTACTTCATTTCGCTCATCACTATATACTAAGTATTGAAGTCACAATTACTTTCCTCAACATTCAAGAGAATAGTTGTACAAGTATAATTGATTGATTATCATTCATCTTTAGCCTTTTTAAATACTCTAAACTCAACCCCTAGCATTCTATATTCTTATCAAAGAAGATGCCCCTCCCATATCCACTCGGAAACGAACCGGAGTAGTCTGTTCATCACAAAGCTTAAAGTCTATGCATGCACTTCTTCCATTTCTTCACTCATAAAACAGCATGGTATATACCATAAGATTATCCTCAAACCCGCTTGCGAAATTATTGTATGAAGCATACCTCACTTTTTGAGACCCCACTCCGACCAGAGATAGTTTCTCTCATGAGTCTTTCTAACACAACTTCTCGCTCCCTTCAAATTTCCTCACAACAAACTCTTTCAACCTCTCTTCCTCAACACCAACTCTAACCTCTACTTCATCGGTACCGGAACATAAGGATACTGCACCCAAATCCTCACATCACTCTCCACCCACTCGTCCGGAATCCCCCTCATGCAGCCCTCCACAATCCCTCTATTAACCCCCTCATTATATCCCTCTCCCAATCCCATGCCCCCCGGTATTCCCGTAAAAACCACCACATCCCTCTCCATCCCCACCTCCTTCAATCCCCTCTTCAACCCCCACCCCATCCCAAACGCGCGTCCCAAACCTTTGCATTCCAATCTCACAACATCCACACGGGCCATTCCAAATTGTGGTTCCCGTCCCTTCTTATCCAGCTCAAGAAGTGTGTAAAGAGTATTCTCATGAACTTCCCATATCAATCCATAGACGACTTTATCAATAGTATTATATTCTGCTTCTGCTTCCTCTTTCTTCAAGTCCGAATCCGGTGCGATATTTCGATAACAACACACTCCCTCAACCTTCTCATCAACACAAAACATCCATCCATCCAATCTACCTATTCCAAGTAATTTGGCATCCGGACATATAGTTTCCATAAATTCCTCGCACATATCTGCTCCGATGGCGAAAAATCGAATAGTGGGACTCGGATCAGGAGTAGGTCTATGATTGGCAGCCGCCATATCTTGACGAATTTTCTCCTCTTGAACAGCTTTATATATCTGCTTTTGGAGTTCCTCTTCAGCTGCAGCCATGATATCCTCGTCGGTTGGAAGAGCAGGAGTAGAAATTTCATCGTCTTGGTTAAAGTTCATGTTGCGCCAATCTTCAGATGCGGTAGTGGAGTTTCTATCGGAGTCGAGTTCGTCTTCTGAACCTTCCATGTCTGAGAGTAGGATTTGTTGAGTATGGGGAACGTTCATTTGATTATCTTCGATTTCGATTGAGATTTCGAGTTCTGGTTCTGGTGAATCTTCGTTTTTGATTTCCAGGTCCGGATCTTCGTTCTCGTTTTCCTCTTCCTCATTGTCATCTCTCTCTTCGCCATCATCCTCTCTATCGCCATATTCATTCACACCATCATCATCCTCATTCTCGTCCTCATCATCGTCTCCACCCGGTCGTTCAACTCGACCATGGCCATAAGAACCTCTATATCCCCGTCCATCTCGATACAAAGAACGAGTATACCCACTGATGAACTCGCGCTCATCATGACGGCTTCCATCTTCTCGTGGTGGCGAAAGTGAAACCGATTCGGGTTCCGAGTCAGATATGTATGGTGGAATGGAATTTGAACGAGAAGGAGGTGCGCTTTCGTTTTTTATAGAGGACATTTTTGTGAATGTGATGTGATGTGATGAGATGTGTGTGAAGGTGTTGATAAGTTGTTTCTCAAAGTGGAAGATTCAAAAGGTTTGTGATGCGGACCTTGTATCGGGGATAGATGTGCAGTTGATGGGCCGAGAATTTTATAACATGAGGTAGAAGGTTGAGGTTCAGATAGAGTGGTTTTGATATTGGCCGGTACAGTTACCGATTCCGAAATTAAACTTATTCTAATTTAAATTGAAAAGTGAAAGTGAATTCTCGGTGGTAGTTGTGGATGTATCGATCATGTCTTGATATTTAAGATGATCAGCTGACACTTGGACTGAACAAGATGAAGTTAGAGATAGGGAAAGAGAAAGAGGGAATAGATATTGAATAGGAAAGCATGAATTAAAAAGTATCATAATCACCTAGAACAACAACAACAGCAGCAGCATACCTAGGTACTATCGTCTGATTTAGCCAAGAGAAATTCCGTACATATCTCAGACAGATTAAGATAATGCTTGAGAGATCAATTTACCTCAGTGAAAGACGTAGTTTGACTCCAAAGGTTGAAGATGCTCAAGTGAAGCGAGCTTGAATGAATGAAGAATGAAGTAATATTGACTGGCCGTTTCTTTCTAGCAGTTTTTGGGCGAGGGCCAGAGTGAGAATGAGAGGATATATACGCGAACACCCAGTGCCGCAGGCCAAAGTGTGAGAGAAGATGATGCAGGATTATTTTACGTGGCTAGAATTGATGATTCTGGTACCGTAAACACATATTGTCTATCAGTGAAAAGAAAACAAGAGAAAGAAGAGAAGTAATCAAGTCTCTAAATCTTCATCACCATCTCCCGAAGTTCAATTCTCACAGCAAGAAAAGTTCATTCTCCTTGTGTCATCATCTTCGCACCCAAAAGTGTAAATAAGGAAAGAACGACTGGGAAAGCCATTGAAGCTACAAGTATACATGTTACTATACGAGAAACTTCGATTCATTTTGGGAGATACTACCAGGTCGATATAAAATTCCTTATTTATACAACATCTTCGCATATAACAATGTTCTCCAAGCAAATCAAGCGCAAATTTTGAACAGAGAAAGGCAATATCCCTTTTGAAATACAATTCTTTATATCCTTTCACGTAGAAGAGTTCCTGCCATAACAAGCGAAATGCATCTAGCGCTGACTCCAATCTTCTCGCTTTTATCTGGATAACCTTTATGGCATCATTGAAAGAGACACTCACCTAGTATTTACCCATTTAGTAATATCTCAGCGAGACTCTTCCAGAATCCAAACCATTACAGATCAGTGAACTCAAGGTCAAGATTAAACGAAGTGAAGCACAGAAAAGTAAACTCTCCATCTCAATTCTCAGCCATCACTCAAACCCAAGAAATCCTCAAGATCTATTGTACATACTCCATTCCTTCTCTGCTCCTCGTATCTCCCTCTCCAACTACTTCCCCACGAATCAAAAGAAAACAAAAACAACATACATAAGCACCCCATATCCCATATTCCATACCATATCATACAACCACAACCCGCCATCCTACTCCTATATACAGTACAGTAATCAAATCACGTTTGCAAGGCTCAAATTAAATTTTATCTTTCCCAACCTTTGAAAATAAAGTTTCGTGAAGTATCTATTCATCTATATCTATATATCTTTTTGATGTCATTTTTTGAGTGAGATACAAAGGTAAGTAGATAAATAGATAGGTAGGTAGATAGTTAGGTAGGTAGATATGAAACATAAAAAGTGTTATTGTATATCTGTATCCCTCTCTCTTTCATCCCTCTCTCTTTCATCCCTCTCTCTTTCCTCCCTCTCCAACAGCTTCTCCTCTCCCTCCCCTATTAAATATTCGCAAGCGACCATCTTTGACTGGTATATCCATCCATATATTCACATACAAAGATTCTCACGCGCAGTAAGAAAAATCTAAAACAATCAAAAAAAAAAGCGAGATCATAATTCCATGAGAACTTTTCACGAAGGTAGAATCCCTTTCAGCCTGTTGGAAAAATGTTCCGTATTAAAAGAATGACGATGTCGCAGTGTGAACACTATCGCAAATGAACTCTCAAGTTGTAAGTTTTGGAGTTTGAATTTTGAATTTTGAATTAGTAGGAATGATGAAAATATACAGATTCTTCTATCCCAGACCTCACAAACCCACCCTCACCATGCTACCTCATCCACTCTCATCTATCCACCCTATCAATTCCAAGGCCAACCCCTCCTCCACAATCACCTCTTCTCTCCTCACCCCCTCCCACTCATCCAACCACCTCGTGCTCAATCCACTCCTCACTCTCTCCTCCTCACTCTCAAACAATTTTCTCTCCTCCCCCTTCACACCCCACTTATCCCTCCCTCCCCTCTTCCCCCTCAACACCCTCCCCGTCCCCCACAAATCTCGTTTCCACTCTCCATACCCCCTCTCCCTCTCTCCCCTCACCGTATCCTCGCATTTCTCCCGATCAAACTCCTCACTCTCTTCATCCATAAACTCAGGATTGATTCCCACAAACACAACTTCCACCCCTTTCCCTTCCCCACCCTTTCCCCTTTCCTCCGTTCCCCCATCCTCTTCCCCTCCCCTTCCCCCTCTAACCCCAAAACAACCCTCCCTCCCCAACCCCAAAGCCCCACAATGCAACTCCTCAAACCTCTCCCTCTTAAACCCATGACTCACAATCGATATCCTCCCAGGCCACTCCCCCGTCCCCCTCCAAAAAGCCAGTAACCCCCTCACCAAATTCTCCCAACTATCCAACGCTTCCTCCTCCAGCACAATTCTTCCCCCTCCCCTTCCCATCCTCAAATCCCCCTCTCCCCACACCCCCCTCTCAACCCCCACATCAAAATACCCCCTCGCCTCACTCCTCTCCACCTCCCCTCTCGTACACCCCCCACTAACAACCAACAAACTATTCTCATCTCCCCTCCATAATTCTGCCGCACGCATAATATGCTTAATAAACGTCATCCATTCCCGACCGTCTTTTTGAAAAGAAGCGAGCAGCCATGAGGATTCGAGCTCTGGGGGTCCGGAAACATAGATAGCGTGGCAGGTGAGAAGGATGAGATGATTTGGTTGGGGGATGGGGCTTGGGGTTGAGTGCATTGTGATTCTGAGCCTGGGGAGAATTTAGAGCGGGATGGTGGTTGATGAATTACTAAGTAATTATATATAGATTTTTTTTCCCAAAGTAGGTAGGTAGATATTTGAGTAGATAAAAAAAAGGCAATCGATTAAGAGAGATAACTATACAAATCTCGCAAAAGATAAAATAGAAACCTATGAGGTACCAAATCTCAGGTAGATGGATATATCATATCATAATTCACACACCATTTTCGGTTACATATAAAAAATATGTATCAAGACATTGATTCAACATTTCAAAAATTAAGGACACTTCCCTTCGATTCGATTCGGTTAACCTAGTTAGGTAGACTTAAACCCCACCCCCATATCATGCACTCGAAACCCTCAAAAACTTTAACTAAACAACCTAGGTACCTAACTACCTATGTACATTATCTACGCAATCTACTCAACCATCCAAGAACTACTAAAGACTAATTTTGCAGGACCTCCTTCATACTATCTATCTTCCCCTATCTGCATCTAACTTACCTCAATTTTCGTCCCCACTTATCATAGCCCACATCCCACACTACACACTACTCGCTCAACACTACAGATCATTCACTCACACACAAAACTCTTTTCCAAAGAACATTTATTATTCATATTTCATGTTTCATATTCATACCCCCCTCACCTAATCTCTATGATCTCCCTCCTAATATTCTAAACCCCTTCCCCTTTCCTCATCTGCAACCCTTATCCCTATCTCATCTCCACCCTCCAAAACTCCATCCATTCTATACATATAAAATATCACCCCTTTTCCCTTCACAAGAGACCAAGTAATAAAGTCATGCAATCATAAGAATTCCCAAATCCTCTCGCTCCTAATGAATCATAAAAGAAGAAGAAAGAAAAAAATGGTAAAATCACGCGAGTACATACATTTTGTATGTACCATCTCCCCTATCCACCTCCGCTAATTGGGGTATCTTTATCCTATCCTATCCTATCCATTCGTTGCATATCCAGTGCATTCATATCTTTAAATTCTCCATTCTCGGAACCACATTCTCCCCATTCCTCTCTCATCTCTCTTTCTGTCAGAACACTAAACACCTCTAAACATCCTAACAATCAAGAACCACATCGCACCAATAAACTTAAAACAACTCAATCCTGCCACACTCCACAAAACCACAGCCATATAAATCGTACTCTTCGTCGTATCATCAGTAGTCGTATCGATATTTTCCAAGCCCGCTGTACTAAGCACCGCACTTGTGAGTGCAAAATTACAAACCAACCAAAACAACACTACTGAAGATCTGAACCATTTGTAATAATCTTCTTGCTTCTCTTCTGCCGAGAATTCACGTTTCTCAGGCGGAGCTTTGATTTGAATCTTGCGCATTTCGGATTCATATTGAGCGTTGAGATCACCATCGTCGGTGGGAATGTTGACGTCGACTTTACCACCAGCTTTGAGCACAGCGGATGGAAGTTTCTCGGCTTTATCATCTCCTTTGGTACCCCATGTAATATCGTGAGTGTTACAGAAAGCGTAAACGTTGAGAATGTTGATATATGTTGGGGTGAGAAGAAGATATTGCAGGAAAGATGTGAACATGTGCCATGGGTCGAAGAATAAAAAGGAAGAAATGAACCAGAGTAGATAAGTTGAGGCGAGAGAAATGATCAGAGTATAGAAGATTTGATTCTTGATAATATCTGTCCAATTGAATTGGTCTTTCGCAAGTTGAGTTTGAATTGATTTAACCGTGATGAAGATTGAAGCAAACATTAGGTATCTATGCCAGTTAGTAGGAGAAAATGAAGTAAAGCGGAAAATACTCACATCATGATGATGATCCAGAAATAAACCATAGACATGTAAACTTTGTT